CTCTGCTCTTACATCTTCTCCAATTACCATCACATACGTAGGAAAGCTAGTTTGATTATCAAACCCTCTTTCTCTCTCTCTCTCTCTCTGATCTCTCTCTTTCTCTCTCCATGGGAATAAGGGGAAGCAGGTCCTTCACTTGGTCTGCTTGGCTCTTGATTACGGCTTTTCTTGTCGTTGGCTTATCCGGTGAAACTTGTAGCGCAAAGGATGATGGTACAAACTGTACCTTCTCCTGCGGCAATATTCACAACATAAGCTACCCTTTTCGACTAAAAGATAGTCCAAAGCACTGCGGCCACGTTCTGTATACGCTGTCTTGTGAGAACGACACTACAGTAGTAGACCTACCGTCTTCCGGAAAATACTACGTCCAGGCAATCAACTATGATAACCACACAATCCGCATCATAGATCCTGGCCTTCAGAACAACAATTGCTCCTCCATGTCGAGAAACTTTCCGCTTGTGCCTTCTACGTTGGATTTACCATATAGCTTTTATGGTAATTATGCAACGGATTCACAGCTTTCAACAGTTATATTTTACTTGAAGTGTTCGAATCCACTGAATTCTTCTCTGTATGTGGACACTGCTCCATGCTTCGAAGCAAGTGCTTCTTCTTCGAGCCAACCAAAAGCATATAGCTACGTCAAGGTCGGTTTGATGGGAGTAGGGGATGTGGATGAGGGTTGCAGTGCAGAGTGGATGACTTCGGTGCTCTCAAGCTACATCAAGGACTACAACACCTCTTATGAAAACATACACAAGGCGCTCATGTATGGATTTGAGCTTGGAGTATATAGTGTTGATGAAGTGGGTCCAATCTGCCAAGGCCAATGGAGTATTTATTATAAATGTTTTCCACACAGCATCCCAGGTGCGTGAATTCTCATCGAATATAAAGACCAATCCAAAAGTTTGAGTTGTTACCAAAATTAGTTCCAACCTTTTTACTATATCTAGGTTGTTAATACGTTTGGTAACCATTAACTGTTTTCAGTTTTCCATTTTCAAATGACTGAAAACAAAAACAGAAAAACAACCTATACAATTTTAGAAAAACTCTTCCAACTCTGTGTGCTGAATTGCTAATGTTGCCTACTTCTTTGTCACTGTAGGTTTCTTTCGATTTCTGGGGGAGGCGATTTACGGTAAGGGAGTTCGTCTCATTAATTAATCTCCCTCTTCTTTTTTTTTCCTTCTTCTTTAATCCAATGTTATTCTGTTACAACTTCTTGCTTCACAACAAGAGGTTCAACCCTTCTATGTAATAGTTTCAAACTCTGGTTAATTATATTTGAACAAGGGGATATTTGGATTGCTCTTGAAAGGTAAAAATCACTACCAATTGCGTTTGGAAAAGACATAAAAATTTCTTTTTCGCTCGTATAAGCTTTTTTTTTTAGAATCATCTATCATTGCATCTTCAAAAAGCCCTTCAAAGCTCTTTTTCAAAAAATCAATTGGATTTGTAAGAAAATTTCGACATGTTTACAACGAAAAACATTTTTTTTGCACAAGTTGAGCAGAAATGCTTTTGAAAGAAAGCAAACCAAACAAATCTTTACTGGTTACATGAGTTAATATAAAAATAATGCTGGTATTGATTTCTTTCAGAAGCACTTCTACTAAAAGTGCTTTTTATTTATATAAATATTGAAATTTTAATTAAAAACCGGAGTGCATTTCCAAGAAGCACTACCTCTCAAGGATGCTTCTCTAAATTGCGTTTCTATGATCCAAAAACACATAAGTTTTTAGCCAAACACAGTCAGAAGTGATTTTTCCCCTTCCAAATGCATTCCAAACATTGCCCTTGAATAGTTTAGATTATTAAAAAAAAAAGTAAAATATGATAAACCAAAAATAAATATGGATTTTCTGTACATATCATACAAAAATCTTGACAAAAAAGAGAGTAAAATGCATCAAACACCATTTCTTGGCGAGTACATGTGTCAACACTTGATTTTAAATGTGGACTAATGTTTTATTTTCATGATTTATCCCTGCAGTTTTCTTTGCTCGTGGAAGCTTCTACATTGGTAAGAACTTTCTATCCAAAAGTTTCTTTCATTTCTTCTTTCTTTCTTTCTTCCTTTTGTTTAGACGACAATTGTCAATCCAAAGAACAGTCACAATTTTCTTTTCTTTTACACAATGATATTTAGGAGAGGGAAAATTATACTCGCCGATCTCTAGCGAAATGATGAATGTGCGTAGCCAATTGAGCTACAAGTATTTGCTACGGCAGTCACATTAAACTCAGTTTTACTTTGTTTTTCACTAGTTTTTACTATAATATGTTTGGACTTGCAATCTCAAACTTTGCGTTCTACATTTGTTGCAGATAAGTTTCTATGGTTTCGGGCAATATCCTTAAGTAAGAACTTGTATTTCTTGCATATATATTATATCTCGAGTCTTTGATTTTATTCCTTTGATTCACTTTTATAACTTATATTTAAGATTTTGACAATTCGTACTGTTGCCATATTTGTTGCAGAAAGTGGATGGTTGCCATTGATTTGCCTCGGTAAGAGCTTTTAATTGTTCTCACTTTCAGTTTCCTTTCTCTGGCGCTCTTTTGGTGATGATAAATCTCTTGTGCAGGTTTATTTTTAGGAGGAAGACTACTTTTAGGGGTTCCATTTGTGATTGCATTTCTGATCTATAGATGGCGAAGAAGACATTTGTCAGGGTTTAGCATCATCGAAGATTTTCTGCAAACCGAAAACAACTTCATGCCAATAAGGTACTCTTACTCGGACATTAAAAGAATGACTAATAAATTTAAGGACAAGCTGGGCCAAGGCGGTTATGGTTCTGTATTTAAAGGAAAGTTACGCAGCGGTCGTTTTGTGGCAATTAAACTTTTAGGCAAGCCTAAAAACAATGGGCAGGACTTCACTAGTGAGGTAGCTACTATTGGAAGGATTCACCATGTTAATGTGGTGCAACTTGTCGGTTATTGTGTTGAAGGATCAAAGCGCGCTCTAGTATACGACTTCATGCCTAATAGCTCTCTTGATAAATACATTTATTCCAAAGAAGGAAGTATCCCTATAAGTTGCAAGAAGATGTATGAGATTGCTTTTGGAGTTGCTCGAGGGATCGAATATCTACATCAAGGTTGTGACATGCAAATTCTACATTTTGATATTAAGCCTCATAATATTCTTCTTGACGAGAACTTTAACCCGAAGATCTCCGATTTTGGGCTTGCAAAATTATATCCCGTAGACAATAGCATAGTTACTTTGACGGCAGCAAGAGGAACGATCGGATATATTGCTCCAGAGTTGTTCTACAAAAATATTGGAGGGGTCTCATACAAAGCTGATGTCTATAGTTTTGGAATGTTGTTGATGGAAATGGCAAGTAGAAGGAAGAATTTTAGTACAACCGCAGAGCATTCAAGCCAAGATTACTTCCCGTTATGGGCTTACGATCAATATAGTGAGGGAAATGATCTCTTGGAGATGGGCAATGTTACAGAGGAGGAAAAGATAATGATAAAAAAGATGGTTATGACTGCTTTCTGGTGTATTCAAATGAAGCCAAGTGATCGCCCTTCGATGGACAAAGTCATACAAATGCTTGGAGGAGATGTTGAAAACCTAAAATTGCCCCCCAAACCTTTTCTTAATCAACAAGAAATGCCGGGAGTCGATATTCAAGGTAGTTTGAACCCAAAATCTTCTTACGGCGAGATAACGTGGAGTTTGTCAGCTAGGTGAATCGGTGGTCATCAAGATGGTAAAAGATTCGTCAAACTATTATTAAGTTTTATTTTCCTACAGTTAGGTAATAATTATATTTTGCTTTTAAAAAGTTTTTGCCAAAAAATAGGGTAATATTAAGGAAATCAAAATTTAACGAAATGATATGATTATTGATAATTAGATTGATTATTAAGTGTTATTAATGTACTTATTTTCTATTGGTAACACATTATTTGATGGCTTGTTATATTAACACCACACATATTGTTGAATACACCTCACATACTTAATACATCTCACATTTGCTTTTTTTTAGTTAAAAATTATCTTAATACACCCCACATATTTCTCCACAATACCCTCACACCCCACACTCTTAACATACACTATACATTTTCTATATACACCCACATTTCCTACTTATATTCCACACTCTTTACATCTTATGTGCAAATACATAATATCATACAAAGCACTTTTGGTGTGAAGCTAAAGGTCTGTGGGATACTAGAGTTTTTCTAATTTCTCCCAAGCACAACTCCACTTTGAACTTAGAGAGAATTTAGTTCAACAAATCCTGAACGAGGTGTTGTGGGTTACCACCTCAACAATCTCATATTCTCATTAGCCTAATTCAACGGAGTGTACAAGGCATAACTCATACTCTATTACGTGCATGCAGAAATGTCTGGCATTGCTGATGGAAATCTTGGAGTTTTGCACATCACGACATGCATGGAAGTTTTATAATAAAAACGGTGCACTTACGAGTGGAAACAACTATTCATTTTAAATTGTACGTTATTTTTTAGGCAATTAGATTTAGGTCTAAAAACGTAAGCTGCTTTTTAGTTTAATCCAGTTTTCTATGATCCACGAATACCAGTTTCGTGGTCCAAGACTAAGAGAGAGAGATATTATTTTTAGTTGTTATTTAATTGTGAAATCAATATAGTTGGAAATAAGAGGTTTTATGTTTGATTTTCACTAAAAACGAATTCAAATCACATTATTAATAATTCATTGTAAAACTTAACTCATTTCTTACCTGTTAAGGTGAATAATATCGTTTTTAAGAAGAAAAAAAATTATGGAACTAATATAAAGCTTGAACAATGAAGTGGAAATACACGTGGAGGTGCTGGAGGGAGAGTGTTGAGGACTCGCTTTTTAGGCGAGTGCTACTAGCATTTCTCCAATCTTTTTACCCGGGCTGCTACTATTCGGTTAGAAGGGTCTCCAAAGCTTAAAACCCTAGGACCCGACATCAACCAAAATCAGAGAGAGTGCGGGTAAGTATTCGACCCAAAAAGTGATGTCAGTGTCTGAGGAAAATGCCAACATACGAGACCCCCGCCGCCGCTTGCTGGCGGCGAAATACGAGCTGAGACGGAACCTGTACAAGGCCCTCTGCAAGGACCCAAGCCTTCCCAGCAATCTGCGCGAGGAGAACCGCTTCAAGCTCTCCAAGCTGCCCCGGAACAGCTCCTTCACGCGCGTCAGGAACCGCTGCATCTTCTCCGGCCGCGCACGCGCCGTCTACGAGACCTTCCGTATGTCCCGTATCGTTTTCCGTTCTCTTGCAGAAAGCGTCTTGGTAGCCTCCCAAAACGGTGCGCCTCCAAGCTCTTCGTTTCCATTGTTTTCTCGTTTTTTGTTCGCAGTGTCTTCGCTTTCAGAAATGAGTTTTGTCATGAAATGGAAATTCTGCGTGTTCCATAATTCATGTCTATTAATTCCATAAGTCATTTCAAATTAGAATAGTTCAAAGCCAATAAAGATATCAGAAATTGTGAATTATTTATTCTGCACTAGAAGTAACTGCATAAATAATTGCTCTCCGGCACAAATTTGCGTTCATCTTTCTTTAGCAGAACAAATTGCATTTGTACAACACTAAGCAAACCTATATCTTTCCTTTTTGATACACGGTTCAAATGCAGAAAGATGCTCTTAATCGCTTAAGTTGTAAAAAAACCTTCGACCATTTAACTGACTAAAACAATAAATGGCAGATTATAGGATTTGTTTCCCCAGAAGTTTGGGGTAAAATTGGAAGAAGAGTGGAGTCAAAGAAGGGAAATGAGAATGAAGAGAACAGCAGCAGCAAGGAAGGAATATTAACAGCAGCAACAAGGACCCCGTGTGTCACTTATGATAAAAGCAAGTACATTCGAAGGATGCATATGCATATTAGTTTTTGTTTTTCTTTAGAGAATGACGGTTTGGTCCATTCACCTAGTGAACATCAGTGTAAGTTATCATGCAAAGTCATGAGCCTGTCAGTGACTTATATGGGTGGGCATGGTTCGTCCGGTTTACTATAAAAAAAAACAGAAAACGAAAACCTGAAGAATTTGCATTGGTTTGGTTGTTTGGTTGTAGATCGTCGGTGATAACTTCTTTGGATTTGTGTGAACTAGCAGACCGATTACAGTAGATGTTGCAACATTTGAACTAATCCAGACCTATTTAAGAGAGAGAGAGAGAGAGAGAGGGAGGGAGAGAGAGAGAGAGAGCTCTACTCTATGTAATGACCCTTTTGAACATAAAAATGAACTGATTACACAAGAAATGCAAACTGTTTATTAAATTAAAATAAAAATCTGTCGAAGTTTATAATACTTCAACATGTCAATGCATCAAGATCTAAAACTGGTCGTACAATTTTATTGTATCTAAAAATAAACTCAAGGGTTTTGATGTCAATTTTTTTTTTTTTCTAAAAGATTCGTACGTTCATTTCGTAGTTGTGGGTCGTCGTTTATTAGAGCTGCTCTTCTTTTCCCTGGCTAACGAGGAGCTCGCTTTCTTGTTATTTTCTGATTTACTACTCTTTGCTTTTTCACTGCTTCTTCTCTTAGGTCCATTGTCAAATGTATACAATGACGCAATGTCAGGAATTTCCCCTGGAATGTTGTAATTTGATTCTGACGCAATTGTTACAGTAAACATTGCAAGAAAAATGGGCTTTACGTACAAAATTAAGGACACTAATGAGAAGTTTGTGCCTATCTAGGGTAGAACAGTGCTCATTCAATGATGAGCACCATGTATTGTGCCCAATATAAAAAAAATTGGACACAAGCACATTAGTAGGCACGGATGACACACCCTGACCGAAATCGAGACATGCTGGCCATCACGTGAGAGTGATGTAGCCATGTGCGCAGTGCGGACCTGATAAAATATGAAATTTAGAGTGAATAAAAACCAAACTAACTAATTTACATTAGGGATAATATGTAAGTGTGCGGAAGTGTTTAAAGTAGAGATACAAATATTCAGAGCATAGGCAACCTAGGTGCAACCCAGTAAACTAAGTATTGATTATACAGAACATGAAAGAAATTCCTACATTTATTTGGATGACTGTCAAAACCACGAGAAGTCCTCGTGAGTCACCTAATGTGATCTATACGGCTAAACCTATAACTCATCAAGTATGCCTGCATACGAGTCGGAACCACCTAGTGTGGTCTGTATGACAGGGCTGGGTGTAAATAAGTACGCTCAAGTGCTACGATCATGTAAAGGCTGTGCAAATAATCACGGGTCACCTACGAGTCGGAACCACCTATTGTGGTCTGTACGATAGGGTTGTGCACCAAACTTGGATCCAAGGTGGGCGTGCGGTGCAGGAGGTGAACATCACGTGAAGGACTGTGCCCTGACCACGGGTGGGAGCACTAACACCAGGATGCAAGATAATGAGCTCTAAATGCATCTACGTATAACCATACACAATGCAACTAATACCATCATGATGTACTCACCTGAAACTTACCTAGGCCTCTGCAACCTCATCCAATACTATGCATAACCATACTAATGCAATGCTAAAACGTAATGCACACATGACATGGCATTTAAAACATGCGTTCATTTAAAACAGTTTATGGGAGTCATAAGCATATATACATATATATAGAAAACAAAAGCCCACTCACTGGTAAGTAGCAGGATCGTAGCCCCCAAGTCTTGCCTGACCGTGCTCGTCCTCAGGGTGCATCTCACCTATATGCGAGATAACTAATTTAACGTTAATTCGATAGCACATAAACAAAATCTAGGATTAACTTCACACACGTTGCTCAATTGGGGTGTTTGAATATACCAACGTATACTCAAAACCACGAACACCCGCATATTTTTAGAATAATTTTATGACGTCTCACGCACCGGCCAAGGCATGGCCACATGTGTCGGCCATGCGCAAGCAAGTGCTTGGCACACTGGGGGAATCCCTAACGGCGTTAGGGAATATTCTGTTTAGAAACTAAAGGAGTTACCTAACGCCGTCAGTATATTCCGTCAAAGTTGGTGGAATATTCCCTTTCCTTTTCCGATGATTCGCCGGAATCCGCTGCCGGTCGTCGTCTATGTCGTCGATTTCTGGAAAATCTTAAAACTTTAATATCTTCATCATTTTTCAACCAAATTCCACGAATTTTATATGGATTTGAAGCTCTTAACTAGAAGAACACAATCTTACCTATTTAAGGTCCTAAAACTAACGGAAATGGTTGGAATAAGGCTTGGAACAACCGGCCCAAACCTACAACTCCGTGTTCTCGCCTATTCGAATGTTCAAACTGCTCCAAAACTAATCTAGGGTCCCTACTAATTTGATTAGGACCCATCTCAAGCCCTTAAACCTTCAAAAAAGACCAAGATCACGATGGAGAAAAATACACCTCGCTGGAGCTCGCGAGTTCTTGAATTCCCGACGTCTATTCCTCAACCTAAGGGTATGGACAAACTCATGGAGTCACGAGAAAAGTGATGGTGGTGTCCAAATACTTGATCTGTGAGGTTTGATGGTGTTTGTGAGTTGTAAGTCTCGGATCGTATGGACAGGGAAGAAGGATCGAGAAAAGGTGAGAAGGTAAGGGTGATACGTGTGTATGTGTGTGTGTGTATGTGGTCACGAGATTGGCCAACAAGAAAATAATAAGGCCCCTGATTGGGCTGCCGTGAAGAAGAGAGAGAGTTAGAGAGTTTCAAATGGCGCAAAGGAAATAAACCAACCTAAAATCTGATTGGGCTAAGGATAATAGGAACTAATTTGATTGGTGACTAGGTGATAGACAACCCAAAAATTAAATTCTACCCGATCTCGCTCATAAATCGTCATAAAGGAGCCGATTCAACCCTAACTTCCGTCAATGCGCTCCTGACATCGAGTACGATTTAATTACGTCAGCGAGAAAATTAATTTAATCCTGAATATGTAAATCCACGTCACTAAACCATGAGAGCATTATCGTCATTTTACACACTTGGGGAGAAAATATATATAATAATTTGGGACGGGTCGTCACAACGGAAACCATGACTTTTGTGCCTTTAATGTCCGTCCAGCTTGCATGTGGCCTTTTGGAAATTTATTCTTAATTTGCAAAGACATGATAAATGCTTCCGTGCCCTTTAATTTAATATATTTAAATAAAAAGTAGATTTTCGTGTCTTTTACATATTTACTTTTCCAATCCCACAGTTGTTTATTAATTTTTCTATGTCAATCTTAACACCTCACACTCTCTTCGCCTTTCCTTTCTCCCTCTATGTCCCTCTCCCCCTATCTCATTCAACCCCATCCTCCGTACTCTTACGTATTTGGCGTGTTTGTGGTGTTATAGGAAATAGGGTCTGAGAGAAATATGTAGTAATTTTGAAAGGAAGATGGGTTAAGTGTATATGAATTTTGCAATTCCGATTTCAAATTTCTTTTATTGTATTTTTGAACATGTAGTTTTTTTTTTTTTTTTTTTTGAGGTCGTTGATTCTTTGGGTACAATGCATGCATCTTAATTCTAAGAAAGACAAGATTTGAATCTGTAAAGTGCATGTCTCTAATTGCTCCCCTCTCTCAATGTAAGTACATCTATGCATCTTTATTTCCTTAATTATATTTGACTTTGTTATGTTGAGTTGCCAAATTAAAGATATTGCACAACCTTTTTGATACTACACTAAATTTGGAACATGCGAAACATTAAATTTTGAGTTTTAATTATTGAACAGCGCCAGCATCTTAAATTTGTAAGCATCCACAGTAATGGTTTGGGGCTTGATAGTTGTACCAAATCTCTTTTTTTTTCTTTTGTTTTTTTTAATTCCCAAGTGCATGTCCATATGTGTAGACCTTTTTGTAGCTTTCTATAGTTTGGGTTTTTCTTGTTGTGTGCTTACATGGTTTGGGATTAATTTGCAGGCCTGGGTATTATAAAAAACTTTGCGCCTTCAGATTTAAGGTTTGATTATGTCTTACAGTTAATTGTCATGCCCAACAGTTAATTCTCATGCCCATGACAAGGTGTGCATTTTTTTCCATTACATTTATGTGTTCTATCAATTAAACTCCAGACCAACTACTAATCTCCTAAGTTCTTTGAATTCCTGTTTGTTAAACGTTGTAGAAAATGGCCTATTTTGAGATATTCTTTGAATTCCTGTTTGTTTTAGCCTGACCCATAGTTTTATTGGTATCTTGGACGTGCATGTAAAACCAAGCTGAATATTTCTTACCAATGGTATTACTATTTGATTTTATTTTGTAATATTTGAATTTTATGTTCTTTTTTTTTTTTAATATTTAACCTATTGGGCACAGTAATAAAATTTTTGTTAACATGGATGGGAAAGTAATCTGGCAACTTGTCAGAATGAAGGCACAAAAAAGCCTTCATTTTTGCTGACATCATTGAGCACCAAATATAGTATTGTACCCTATGACACGATCACATATAAGAATTTAGGAAAATTAATGAAAATGACTTGAAAACTTTGAGTTTTAAGATAAGGACAAAATAAAGGGTAAAATGAATAGTATCAGGATTGACCTTTTAGTGTAAAAATGTGGTTTTTCGTTAATATGAACAGTACCGGAAGCTTTTCGATAAAATGCCCATAAGATTTTGATTGCTACACTGTTGCTAATGGTCTAAGGGCACATATATTGGTGCCTTAGGCCTTATAGGCATAGATAATTTTCTGTGCGCAGGACCCATATATTTTGTAGTCAAAATTTTCCACTCCCTTAAATTACGATTTTAATCAACAAACTAACCGTGGAATTCTTAAAGGCAAAAAGACGATAATATGGTACCAGCTAAAAACCAAAGTAAACTCGTATAATTTTGGACCAAAAAATTCGACTTAAAGTTCAAAGTATTGCGTGCTGAATTGTTCATGAAGGAAGTATTTATACTAGTAAGATGGACAACTTGTTTAAGTAGGACATGTAAACTTACTTGTTTGCATTCCAAT